CCGGTTGCGTCACGACGGTCTCGGCAGCGAGGCCGTTGGCTCCCACTGTGGTCGCCAGCTTGTTTTCGTCAAAAGTTGCCTTCATCATTGATTTCATTAAAACTTCAAACGTTACAAATGAATTCAAATAACGAAAATAAAAATTACAACTTTCTTGAAAATAAACACAAGATCTGTTTATCGTCTCTTGCTTGCGTGGGTCTTTAGCCTGTGACGGGGACGTCGATATCCGTGGACTACCTGGCAATCAGATCTGATCTAGAAAAATCGGGCAGAGCTTCGTCGATCCGCGAAGGGATCGAGAAATCGTAGCTCTTATCTCGGCGAAGCGAGATAATCACTTTTCTTAGGATTACCGACGAGGGGTAATGCTAAGGAACGGATGCGGGTGATGTAGATCTGATGAAGAACTCTCTTGTGTTGAAGTGCTCGATCACTCTTCACTCCAGCAGGGCTTCGCCAATTCTCCAAAAATCCAGATCCCCAAAAGTGAGGCCTAAGGCTTCTATTTATAGGCGACACCCCTGGGGTGTCCCCAAAAATCTAGGACACCCCTGGGGCGTCCCCAAAAATCTAGGACACCCCGCTGTAAATTCTTCGTCCGAACTCGGATTTTAGTGATTCGAATTGCGTTGGAATTCTGACGAAGAGTTCTATCAGCCCCGATGGTTAGATTATCTGTAGAACGAACGAGACACGAAAGGCGTTGTTCTTTTTGTAAACATCGCGGGGCTCTCGATTAGCATGTGCCTTCGTTATTCCGAAATTCTGTCAGCTCACGTAGTTCGTCGATTCACTTCAAGCGTTCACCGACGTCAATCGAACTCCTGTGAACCAGATAGTGACGTTCATTGTCGTTCCTTAACACTGAGCTGTTCGTGGAGACCTATAGGCAATTTTCGATGCCTACAAAAGGTACCTAAATGTAAGAGTTCAGGAGAAAGTACAGGTTTTGTCCTGCCACTTCCAATGAGGAATTGAAGGAGAAAACAAAAGAGAGAGATTATGAGTAGAAGCTAATGAAGAATTCGGTGCCTAATATACGATCAACGAATATCTGAAGGTTTAATATGAAAAAAATCAATAACTTGACCTTGTCTAGTTTGCTTCTTTTGATTCAGGAGAATTTCAAGATCCATCAAAGAAAAATATTAAAATTTATATAAAATATATAGGCGTCATATTCAACCTAAAATAAGAGTATTCAATCCCTACAACAGTGGTGGAAAGGAGCAACATAATTAGGAAGTCAAATCCAAAATTTAAAAACATAAACTATTTATATTGTTTAGCTTACGTGATACATGAATGACCCCTCCAGCAGAAAGAATCTTATAATTTGCTAATTGCAGATGCAAGCTACACAGATATATCTGTCTCATGGTGGTATATTAAATTGTCCAATAATTTGTTGCATACTTTTCACATGCGCGCGCACACACACAAAATAAAGGTTAGAATTGCTATGTAACAGTGTCACGTGGACACAGAGAATTAGGAGCCCACTAGTGTCTACTACAAGAAAAATGAAAAGGGTTAAATGATATGTACTATAGGTCTGTACATAAATAGCTATATAATCACTCATAAAAACAGTTGGTGCATAGTCTGACAAAGTTGATTTAGATAATTACTCCATATGTTGTTAGTTGTGTCTCCCTACTAAATGAAGGTCAGCATTGACGAAAGGCGATGTCTATATCATATGGCTAAATACGCTCCTGAAGTATGCTTGGGTTCCCTCAAGTTCCCAAGTGATTGACACATAAAGCCATATCCCGCTACTACAGCTTATTAATGCTAGTAACATTCTGCAGTTTGCTAAATGAGAATACATGATAATATTTTCCCTCAAAATTAGCTGAAGTCAGTCCTGCTATTTTTCCTGCTTGTCCAATGTCATGTATCAAGCTCCTCACAATTGGATTTTTACTGTCAAGTAATACAAACCTCGCGGGTGAGTGTGGATTGGTGCTTTATGCTCCACCATTATAGTGATCGTGTCTTTATCGATGATTTGACCATTTTGGTCATCTGCTATAAACTACAGTTATTGCAGGGCGCCTTTAAATAAAGTATTGTTATCAAGAGTTACTGGGTAAGAAAAATGAATGATTGCAACATGACTTCAACTTGTATATATGTATACTAAGCCAAAAAATGGAGAAAAATATAAGTGCCTAAATGCAGATGAGTTTCAGTTATATCAGTTTTATTAACCTTCTACAGTGACTAGAGAGGATCACATGTGCCACTATGTATGCATATGCATAATTCCTCTTGTTCATACTACAAAATTTTAGGCCTAATGCACAAACCAACAGTAGCTGAAATGGAAGTTAGACTCATTCTCCTGTTGAGATATTTTGTCTGATCCGACCAAAAAATGGAGACCAAGTTTGTGTTTGATTCAGTGGCAGACCCAGGATTTCTGGGAAGTGGTGTCACCACATAATTAATAATTAAAAAAGCTTACAATTGTATCCGACGAGTTTTCATATTTCAGCAAAAACTTGACAATCACATCTTTAGTAAGAATATCAAACACATCATTACTAACCCTATAAAATACATAATCACTTAGTAGCTCTCAACTATTAGCCTATGAAGGCCTTCCGGTCTACCATATCTGAACCATAATCTCACATATATGGTTAATGGGTCCTAAGTAATTTTTGATGATCCCATATGGTGATAGAAGATATCACGGTGGTGTATGGTTACATAGACAGCATGTGGATATACATGAGGAACTCCCTGGTGATAGAAGATAATCAAGGTGGTGTATGGTTACATAGACAGCATGTGGATATACATGTATGCCGGAAATTTACGAAAGCTCAACTCAAGTCATAGGGTAACAAGAGGAACTCCGTGGTGAAAGTGGTGTCAAGTGAGATCACTTCCAGCAAGGTAACCCCCCCCCCCCCCCTAGGAGTTCAAATCAAGGAACACTGACTGATTTCTATAGATAACTGTGATATAGCAAACCATATTCTCCCCCTCTCATCTAGCAAACATGTTTCTTATTCATATTTATCAGTTTTAGTTGAATTGATATCTTTTTTAATTCCTTCTTACAATGTTGTAATACCTATATTTAACCCCCCCCCCCCCACACACAACACACACATGGCCGCGAAATTGCAAGCAAATGATGTCAAATATGAGCAACAGGGCATGAGTTTGTTAAGATTTCAAGTAACACCAAGCAGACACTTCATGGACAGTAGGGACTTGGCTACAAAAAAAAGTGGAGCCAGAAGAGTACTCAGTTCAGGCACCATAGTCAATATAAAATTCATTCGCACCATAGTCAGTATAGAATTCATTAACAACTCCAATCAGTTCTTTTAAAAACATTGAGAGTTCAGATTAGAATTTCCTAAGCTAGACATGCAAAATGGAGAAATAAAGTAGGGACTACAAAGTTGTTTTTTGGTCTTCGCTCCAGTGTGGTCCTCTAATAGGTCACCAAATAATATATGCGAAGTGGTTAAGCAAAAACATACCTGGTATTGATTCTTTTTCAGCCTAACATAACAGGACTCAACATTTCTTATACGGGACTCGTTTTTCAGTTTTTTTTTCTTGAATTTATATAAAGGGCCTCTAAGATTTACCTAGGTCAAGTTGGAGTACACTTGCTCCTCACTTGTATACAGACAAATATGATACACAACCAAATAAATTTTGACATACATACTTCAAAATGCATCAGAGCTGATATGAATTCAAATAGCATTTGTAAACCCCTCTGATTCATTAATCCTAATTGAAGATGATAATTTTATATGAATGTCAACGTACACGAGCGCATGCACGCAAGCACATACATAAAACGGTTCTGCACTTTTAATGCACATAAATCTTAAAAGTAAAAACGAAAAAATGGAAAACAAGGACAAAAAAAGAAAATAAGTGTTAATAAGTTGATAAGTCATGTGCTCATGGATAGAAGCAGCTAGAACACAAATCTTCAACAGCATTGCACAGGAAAATCCTGTTCGGTGAATAGTCCACTGAAACTGTCAATTGTAGTGTGTGTGTGTGTGTGTGTGTGTGTGTGTGTGTGTGTGCGCATATATATATAATTCGACACTTTGGTCTAATCTGCAGCTGCTTTACATCATTGTCTTATCACAAATATGGTCTTAGACATTTCCAAACCCATGTACAAACCTCCTTACTCAATATGGATATAACATGATTTTGTAGCTACTAAAATTCAAAATGTACATCAAAAGTAAATTAATCTTCTCCTCCATATCTGCAAATCACGTCTTGCAGTGAAGCCCTATCCCAATATATACACAAAAGAAAGATTATGGTCTACAATGATATATGAAGAGAATGTAAGTAAGAATGATGATTCTAGACATGTGAGGTTCTAAAGTTAATGCACTGCATGTTGTATGGGTAGTCCTATATTGTATGCTTAAATAATTTATGCCAAGCGGATTATTATCCCATCATCCCAATTGAGCCTTCCCCACTTTGGCATATTTTGAGCCTGAGAGCAGAATGTGGTTTTCTGTAGTGACTTGTATGGTGCTAGTCTTCACATAGACTCCTTCATGGGCTGCGAGAAATAATAGGTCGATTGTTGGTTGCAGGAATAAAAGCCTACATTTAACCATCAGCCAACCGCCCATTAAGGTACTATGAAATCAATACATACAAAAGATGTCATACAACTGCTTATAAACGCTAATTCTTTTGTGAAGCATGTCAGGCTAGGATTTTCGCTCCATAGTTGACCCTATCTTGATGAGAAAATGTCTTATTAAATGATGACCACACATAGCATTCATGCTTATGGTGATGCCAAGTTATTCCAGCCACGACTACTTGACGTATTAAGCAATTTTAATAAACAACACACATGCAATGGATCTTGCAAATTAACTCCAGTAAGTGATACATAAATATCTATCTCGCCAAGTCATGCATATCCAAATAACTTAGGGTCCAATGCCCACATGAAAGAAAATGCTTACCTTCTTGCTGCCTTCTCTGGGTCAAGATCACCCGCTGAAATTTGATATTCCCCATTCTGGTCAGCCTGCTTCATCGTCTCGCAACTAGGAACATCCACTGTCACGTACTGCAACTTGTTCGGAGGAATACTTTCCATCAACGCAGACACTTCGGAGTTGCTTAAGCTACTCTTTTGCCTAGGCGAATTCGGACCATATACACAATTTCCCCCAAATCCACCGCAAATTTCACTCTCTTCACTAGAATTAGAAATGGGGCATTGTAATTCAGCTGAGACCTCAAGAATAGCAGCCGAATCACTAGCTGATCTCCTATGAAGTGTTTCTTTCGAGTTAACGTCCGAATCGGTCAACAGTTCTTCGAACCAAGAGGGCTGTTCTTCTAAGATGGTACCAAGAGAAGGGAACCTGATGAGATCAGGCATTTCATCTTCTTTCACTCGAATCGGGGGCGGGCAACGAGGAGGGAGGTGAGGAATTCTTGACATTGTGAGCTTAATTTAGGGTTTTCTTTCGCCCTGCCTAGTAAATTTGTAAACGCTGTTTTGTAAGAGAATGAAACCCCAAGAATTTGTAAACATTATCAAGATAAAAAACATCAAATTCAAAATGAGTCGCTTCAAGAAACACTATAATCTAGTTGCATTTTAAAACATTTAAAAACCCACTTGCTTCTGATCATCAAAAATGTGGGGGGAAAAAGCAGTATTCAAATCGAACCCTAAATTAGACGAGAGTCACTTCAAGAAAACTAAAACCCTAGAAGCTAAATTCTTCAAAATATACAGTAAAATCCCAAACCAATACAACAGCACAAGAATCTCCCCTCAATCTGCAACAAAACCTAGGCCAAAAAGAACTAATTTTTCTTAAGCAAAAAGGGTAAATAAACAAAAATATAATAACAAAACTCAAATAAAACTTCAGTAAACCAGTGAGAATAGCAAGTACATTGATCAAATAACGATCAAGATAAGCAAAAATCACCAAAATATACGATTTAATTGAGAAAAAAATTGGATTTTATATCGTTTTCTTCGGTTTTCTTAGATTTTATTTACCTTTGTTCTTCTTTTTTGTAATTTGAGGAAGAGAGAGAGGAGAGAAAGCGGGGAATTGAGTATTTGTACGGGGAAAAGGGAACTGAAATAATCATAAAATATCTCTGCAGCGGTGCGATGTCTCTCGCTCTGCCTTTTATTATCCGGTAGCGTTCTCGTCACGTCACTCCAAGCTCTGGGCTCAGCTCTACACTTGTTAACATTTTGGGTGCAGCCCAGCTGGCGACAGGGCTCAAATCTGGCTTTGATTAGGTGATTATTAATCTAGTGATTAAGTCAAGATTGACATAATTTGGTGCTTATTTACTATCACATTTAATCTTTGGCTAAATAGCTCTTAAATGTCTTATAGTATCACTCCTATAGCACTTATATACCTACTCCTCAGTTGTATCTCATAGCATTTATATACTTGGAGTTGTTTAAAATTGGCACGTTAATATCTCTGCTATGCAAACGTCAAATTTTTCATCTGAAAGCTCACATATGACGTGCGTATGTTAGTTTTAGAGCTTTTTAACCATTAATATTTATTAATTTGCTATTAAATCTATCCAAATTCTAATTTAAATGTATTCTATCTATATTTTAAAAATATTATTTGGAAAGTTTTAATTATGAATTCAACAAACTTAAAAGACAGAAAGTTACAAGATTACCATACGAATGTTATATAGGAACTTTCGGACAAAAATTTTTACGTTCTCAAAACAAAGGTTATTAACGTGTCAAATTTAAACAGCTCGGGATACATAAGTGCCATAAACTACATGTGAGCGAATATATAATTGCTAAGGGAGGGAGTGAAACTCTAAAGTATTTACGTGCTATGTAGCCTTAAATCTTTTAAAGCAACTTTAGTTTGAACAAAAGTTGAAAGCGTTGGCTGTCATCCACGTCACAGAAAGTTGCATAAATTACTTTAATTTTGAACAATGTTATTACAATTTTGAGATCCTGATCTTCTTTACTCGGACGCTTTGGCTTTTGAGCAACTACTTGCAATTTGTTTATTTTATTGATATGGATGCGATTTCGAACGCAAGAAAGAAAAAAAATATAACTTTGATGCCTTCAACTCCATCGTCAATTTGTCACACATCCCTTCTTTCGTTCGAAACATTTGTTGTTATATACACAAAAGAAAGTTCCAAAGACAAGAAAATGCGAACAAAAACTGTTACAATCAAAACAAATAAGCGAGCGGAGTGTTCTGGACCATACTAAATAACTTATACTGTCCATAGGAAGGTGTGCTCTAAATATTTTATTTCACAAATACTGTTACGAATACGATCTAAAGAAAAGAAATGACTTCACTTTCATTTTCCCAAGCCTCCTATAGTTGAAAGTTTGCTGTCATCTACATAAAAGGTCACAAAAACCTAACTTAAAGCTGAACAAAACTATTGCAACTTTGAAATCAGGATACTTCTATGCAAAATGCTTAGCTATTGAAGGCTCCTTGACATTCCCTTAAGGTTGCTTGATCACTTGAAGGACTTTTGCAATCTTCGCTTCCTCTTCGGGGGAGAAGTAGCCAGCTTCTTTGTTCCAGAACTCGACCCACTTGCTTTCGATCTTCCCTTTCCACATCAACCCCATTTGTGTCTCTGATTTGTAGTAGGGTGTCATGACAGTGCTCTTGCTGATCCCGCCCATTCTCTCTACGGATTTTACAGTGTGAATTGTGACTTTAGGTTGGATTTCTGCGCCGTGGATGTAGGTGAACATTCGCTTCAGCTTTAGATTTGGCTTCCATGGTCGATTAGGCCTACAGCAGAAAAGATAGAACGTCTAATACCTTCAAGAATATATAATTCATAATACCTGGAACCAAAAGATTCAATGACAAGATGTTGATGTGCAAGATTCAGTATTTTTAATAAAAAAAATTCGAGCTCAGCTGTTGCTCGAGCAGGTTTACTCATTATTTCAATCAGTTAGTCACATGTAGTTCATCAATACTTGGCGCTAAACGATGCGATGACATACATGGCGATGAAGAGGGCATCCTTTCAACTTCCAGTCACTTTACCGAGAATCCACACCCTTAAACCATAATATTATATAAAAGCTTATACACGCTAACACAAATACGCGCATATATAGCTTAATTTGGAATGGAGCGCTTCTACTTCTTCATGGTGAGAAGGATTTTTTTTTTTTTTTTTTTTTTGAAATAGTGTAGAGTGTTAATATTTTCATGGTGGAAAACATTCGATATTGGCTGGACAAAAGAATGACTCCAGCTTAATTGAAGATGATTAAGCTCGCTTATCCCTTGTAGGTTTTACGTGACATGGGTTACTGAGTTACTGAGTTAACAAGTATCCAACAATATAGTCCATCCGAAACAAGACAGTTGAACAATATTTTTCATTTCTTATTCGGTACCATATATTTGCTGAAATAGGCTAGCCTTTGCCTCTTCCAGGCTCCAGACCTCGTCAACAAAGATTGAAAACCTTCAAATAGAGATCAAATTTAACACGATCTGCAAGACTCACGTCAATCATCAGGCTAATGATCTCTCGAACACTAAAAGAGACCCTAGCACGAAACCAACCAATGTCAATTAAAGGAACTCAAACAAGTCATCTACCATGCTAGCATTCAAGACCAAATAGAAGACACTCTAGCTTGCAAGGTCATGGTTCTCAAGTTCCAAGGGTTTACATCGATCATCAACCTGTAAAGAACCAAAATGCACTGCTCGTGGAGTTCCAACTGCTTTCTTATATGAATTAACATGCCAGGGATACCAATGCACATAATACATATAACGTAGAATATCAAAAGTGGTGTTTCAACAGAAAACTTCGGATAAAATCAAACGCGATCTGGACTTTAAGTTGGTAAAATGACGAGGCCATACTTTTCTTTTTTCCGCTCGCTGTATGGTACATATTTCTCAGGACATATGGCGTTAATCTATCATGATATCAAAGTCTTTCTAGTTTCTACACATTGAGTTATACTACTCTTAAAAAATTGAGACATTTTCTCATGTACTGCATTTTTGGTGTCTGGTAGTACAAGAGTAGAACAAAACTCTTGTGGCACTCCTAGCATTGATAAGTGTACACAAGAGTTATACTACTCCCGTGGACTCCAATTTTTTGTGTGTCTAGTAGTACAAGAATAGTACTAACTCTTGTAACTCTCGTGTCGAGTCGTCGCAAGTCGAATGATTGATACTTCACAAATTCCAACAACTATAAAGTGAAGGAAGAAGCTAGCTATTGATCTTTAACATGGAAAGCCCTTTTTCTAATATTGATAGGAAAGAGTAGCAAACCATATGTAGACTTTCTACTCACGACTTTGATCGCCAAGCGCCTTCAAATAGGTCCGAATAATTCGAAACACAACAACCCAAAATATTCCCCCCGCTCAGCTCGTGCAACCAAATTATTTAAGGAAACAAAAGCAGGGAGTGAGAGGTGTCAGATACCCATTGTTGTTCCGGCGGAACTGGACGTGGCGACCAGGAAACATGCTACGATTCGCGCTCTTCGTCATCTCCCCGCCCGAATCGCCGGCGGCGGCGAGGCCCTTGTTGGCGGGGGGCTTGGAGGGCTTCAAGGAGTACAGTGCCTCGAGAGGCAAGATGTCGTCGCCGATCTTTCGAACTATTCTCTTGCATATTCCTCCTCCGTTTTGGGCGGCGGCGGCGGCGGATCTCAGCGCCATGCTTGGTGAGGAGCAGGGGGAAAGGGGCGTGAGTTTATTGGGGAGCAAGCTTTTAGTGGGCGGAGCCCAAGTTTCCATGATGTTCAGTCCATTTAGATAATGGGCTTGGTTCTCTTGGCCCAGTTCCAAGTCTCGAAAAAAAGGGTCCGTGCTCAGGGTTTGGGCTGAGTTATTCCAATGGACCTCATCATGCAAATCAGTAATATATGTTTTGGGTTATTTGCATACGTACCCTCAAATCACAGGTATTTGCAAGAATACCATCTAAACCTCACTATTTGCAGAGCTAGCCCCTAAATCATGTATTTTGGAAAAACAGATACCCTCAAAGTAATTAGTCGTCAACTTTGATAAGGTAATTTGTAATCGCATCGTAAAAATTATCAATAAAGTAGTCAAATTTTTAGCACAAGTCGCTGATTCGTTGATTTTAGGGGTAGATGATTTGAGGGGTGTTTTTATAAATTCCCCTGATGTAAGGGATACATATGCAAATAGCCCTAGGTGTTTTGGTGTATGATCCCCCCCCCCCCCCCCAACTGTTTAGCATCCAAACGAGTACTACAATCCCCCATCACCTTCTTCATATCAACTTCAATTAATTTTGAATAATGCAACCGCCTATTTGTCCATAATGAGCAATCAAAGGAAAAATAATAGATGAGCAATTATTCAACATCCAAAGTTGCGGTAGGGAGTTGGCCACTTGCGATGCATGGGAGGGGAGCTCGCTGTCGACATAAATTAACGACGCAAAAATTAACCAGGGGCTCGCTCTCTAAAAGCCTCACGGCTCAAGCTCATGAATAAATTAACGACTCCTGAAGAAATTGGATTGGTGAGTTGGAGGAAGCCTTATCTTTTGAAACAACACAATTGGCTCGCCTTTGATTGACTCGGACCCTTGGGGCTCTACGAACCAAGAGGGGCACGAAAGTCGTTGTTGAGATGAATTCGTTGTCAAAATTTGTAATGGAAACGGATATTGATGCTGTCTTTTTCCTCTCTTTGGTAATTGTCCTCTTTTTGTGAACAGCGCTTTGGAGTTTCTGGATTTATCCTGTGGAATTTTTTGGTATGATGGAGAAATTTCTCGATTTTAGTTGAAAGAAGGCACCTTTTGACTCTTTGATATAAAAAAGGAAAAGAGAGAGAGAGAGAGAGAGTGAAAGAAAAGGAATAATAACTCCTTCCCCAATATATATGCGGGTGTTGTAAAACTAATAAAGTAGAAGAGAGAAAGTAGACAAGAATTAGGAATCATTTTATTTCCTCAATTTCTCCTTGTAAAGTGAGGTAGGAATATCTCTATTTATATACAAACTATGATGATGATACATGAATCATATTAATTACTTTTAAAGAATATCAAGGGGTAATACATGTTATCAATCTCTTTGGGAAACTAAATGGACATCCACATCATTTAATTGTTTCATAACAGTGGGATCAACTTTCTCTTACTTGTTTTTTACGCAATCTTTTTAGCATCTATTGGTTACTAGAGTGCGCCCCGTGCAAAACACGGACCTTTTTAATTGGGCAAAATGGCCAGATTGGTATATTTTTTAGAGGCTTGGTGACATGTTGGTATATTTTCTTTTAGTTTTGTCAGATTGGTATAAATTTTCAACTCCGGCGCCATATAGGCCTTAAATTTGGCCGGAGTTACTGTTCCGGCCAGGGCTGATGGATTTTTTACAAAAAACCCCTCATCAAATACAATTTCCTGCTTCTAACCCCCCTCTCTCCCTCCTCATCCTCTTCAACCTCCCTCTCCTCCTCCTCCTCCTCCTCCTCTTCCTCCTCCTCCTTCTCATCCTCTTCAACCTCCCCCGCGAAGTCAGCTCCTCGCCGCCGGCGAAGACCATCAGCCCCTCGGTTTTGATGCACAAGCCTTCTTAAATGCAAACAGGGGGAAACCAATGAAAGCCATTGTTGAACAAGTTCGTGATGGCAGTACACATAAAGTTTGCTCTGAAGACATTGAATTTTGAATTTGCCTAGTACAAACAGGTTGATTTGGTTATTGGTTTCTGTATATCAATTCTCAAGACATTTTTGTTAAAAAAGCTGGGCACATGCATATTTTTTGGATTGTGGGACTTGAAGTTTACGCTTTTTTCGTGAATATAATAACGAATTCATAATTTCTTGCTCCTAACCGAGGGACTGATGGTCTTGACCGGTGGCGAGGAGCTGACTTCGCGGGAGCTGACTTCGCGGGGGAGGTTGAAGAGGATGAGGAGGAGGAGGAGGAAGAGGAGGAGGAGGAGGAGGAGGAGGAGAGGGAGGTTGAAGAGGATGAGGAGGGAGAGAGGGGGTTAGAAGCAGGAAATGAGAGGGAGGTTGAAGAGGATGAGGAGGGAGAGAGGGGGTTAGAAGCAGGAAATTGTATTTGATGAGGGGTTTTTTTGTAAAAAAATCCATCAGCCCTGGCCGGAACAGTAACTCCGGCCAAATTTAAGGCCTATATGGCGCCGGAGTTAAAAATTTATACCAATCTGACAAAACTAAAAGAAAATATACCAACATGTCACCAAACCTCTAAAAAATATACCAATCTGGCCATTTTGCCTTTTTAATTGCTATAGTAATCCCATTTTAATTGATATTTTAAATGTTACAACAAAATATTTTTAAATGTTATGGTAATATTTTAAAATGCTACAATATCACATCTCTGTTACAGCAATATATTTTAAAACGATACAGTAATATTTTAACGATACTATGGTATCCCGTCTAAGCTACAGTAAATCACTGTAGTGTTTTTATTGCAGCATGAATAGTGGTTCTTAAGTTCTACCATTATTATAGAGGAATAGATGCACGTGAAATATAATACAATTGTGTTTGGTATAATTTGAATATTCTAATGTGGTATTGGTGTGATAATAGTTAAAAAGGGATTTTTAAGGAAGATTTTGGTTTTTAATGACGTTTTTATGAAATTAACACTATAGAACAAGGAGGAGGAGGATGACAAAATTGGTGACGTGTACTACCTTAAACTTCAACGCATAACCTAAAAATCACCGCTCATGCTAGCGTAACAACTTTTCATGTTACACTAAAATTTTAAACGATAAACCGTTTGTTCATGCTACAATAATAATACGAAGTTCAAAACGCTGTTTATTCTACAATAATGGATTAGAGTAATAATCAAACTTGATAGAGTAGGGTAAAAAGTACAATAAAATTAACAACACAAGCCAATCCTGATTAAATGTGCAAAACAATTCGTAGCAAGGGCCAAGGGATTAACATTGGTCATGGTGGTCACGAATCACGATGCATCAGGGGACTGTGAAAGTAGGGGTGGAAATGAACCAAATAATTAACAAATAGTTCGATAATTGTTCGAATAACTATTCGGCCATATTCGATTCAGTAGTTCATTTACCACTAAACAAATATTTTCTAGTATTCGAGTTTACTAACGAATAGAATTTAACCGGATGTATATTCGATTCGTTTGTCTATTAAATATTCGTTTGAAATTTGATCAAAACTTATTATTTGTATTATTGCGCATATAATGTCATATTTTAAATCATTTACCATTTCTACTTAAGTTTTATTTACTGATTTTAAGACTTAAATAATCTTAAATCTGTTTTCTAATTTTGATTTAAATATATATATATCATGTATTATAAAGGAATAATTTTTATTTATGAATTTTAATCTTTTTTTCAAAATTAAATTGTTTAGCGAAATAAATTTACTTTGGTATTCGATAAATATTCGTGGATATTCATGAATATTTATCAAATAACAAGTATTCGAGTTCAAATTCGAAAAACTAGATATATGAATATTAGAGTTCGTACGCAAATTCGATAATTTTATACAAATACAAATACGAACACTTTAGTATTCGATTCGATCGTTTACCGGTTCTCATCCTATGTGAAAGCTGATGGTGTTACAGTTATTGGGAGATCGAAGGAGAAATTATACGGAAATTATTAATTCGGGAAAGATGAGTACTTATTGATTGTGGGATAAACGTTTTGGGTACCCGTGCCTTAATTGAGAATCACATGTTCACTAAAGAATGTGAACAAAGTCCAAGTTATTCTAACGTTTAACATTAACTAAATATTGAAATCCACATGCTTATCTTAGATTTCTAAAATGGATATTCACGACTCACGAGTCAAATTCACCTAAACAAAGGAGTCAATACTTGCAAAAGTAATCAATTTCATGAGAACGAAATATCTTCATATAATATTGAATATTCTAGGGAAAATCTGTTGAAGAAAGGAACATATGTTGGGGATATTCCACGGCTGTAATAAAAATTATTATTGAGTCCAAAAAATAAATAAATAAAAACTAAATTCTCTCCCTCTCTCTTGTATCGTATTTCCACGAGCTTCGGTGTACAAGACCCACACCCAGCCAAAGCAGGCCCGTCCGACGCGACCCCGGTAGAATATTCTACGGACCAGAATATCCCAGCTAAACAGTCCCACCAGAAATTGCCGATACCCAACCGACCCACGCCAGCTCAGCACCATCACGTGACCAAATCCCACGTCAGCACCCCCGCGTTCCACCGGGCCCCACGCGAGGTCGGAGCCCCACATAATCCCCCAGCCCCTCTCGTTCGTCGTCCTCGATCAACGAAGGAAACGAAACCAAAGCGAGAGCTCCGAAACCCTAACCCTAGAAATTCCCCCAATTCGGCCGTCGCCATGATCAATCTCGGCATGGACACTCGGCCCTCGACCTCAGTAACGGCTGAGAAAGCCTTCTCCTTTCTCTCCAAGGGATGGCGAGAGGTCAAGGACTCCGCCGACGCCGACCTCCAATTGATTCGAATGAGGGCCAATTCCTTCAAGAACCTCGCGGATCGAGAGCTCGAGAACTTCCTCAAGTCGTCGAGGAACGAATCCATCGCCGAGTTCGAGTTCATGAAGCGGATTCAGCCCAAGCTCTCCGAGTTCCGAAGGGTCTACTCGTCGCCGGAGTTTGGGAGGAGTATTGGGATCGATTTGGCTGGGTTTAGGAACGCGATTGTGGCTGAGGTTGATGAATCGAGGGGGAATTTGGTGGATTTTGAGAAGGGGAAAGTGAGGAGGAGAGTGAGGAGGATTCGGAGGAAAGGGGAGGATGGGGGGCTGAAAGAGTGGGAGCCCATTCGGAGGATGAAGATGAGGTTGAAGGAGTTTGAGAAAAAGAGCCAGTTTGATGAGATTTTTGGGAATTTTAAGAGTAACGAGCTTGTGGAGAAAGTGAAACTGAGCCTGGTAATGCTCTACCCTTATATGCTTATAGTGATCATTAGTTGTTCATTTAACCTTTTAGCTTGAATAATATGGAAAGTGTTATTTTTTTGCGCAAAAGTTGCGTATTTCCTTAATTTTAAATTCTGTTAGTAGATATAAAGCCTGGTGCTTGAAGGCTCTTGAGTGTTGTTCTCGCATACATGGCATTATTGTGGCTTTAGGGTATGTTATTTTTGCTATTCTATATTGTTGATGTTTTATGTTTTATATAAGATGTGTCATAGAGGAAAGGATCTGACAGTCGCCAAGACAGTTAGTACTCTTGGGATCTTTCCCACCTTTAATTGACTCCCCAAAGTATGACAATATTTCTGCTTTTACGTAGAAGGGTGCGAAGAGAAAGTTCCAAGACAGTTGTGATGGAGACTGCTCAAAGCTATCAGAAGAACCTCATGTAACTTTCTTAAGATGAAGTTATTGTAATCACAAAGATGGTTAAGAACAGAACTCGACAAAAAGGTGTTTCATAACTTGACAATGAATGTATCCGGGACGAGTTCTCTTTAGCACTGTCACTATGATAGTATGATGTTTAATGAAATTCAGTAGAGAAATTGCCTGCTGGGTTGTACACTAAGCTAGTTATTTTATATCCATGTACAATTTTGGGTTATGAAAATCCAATATGAATATGCCTGCTAAGATCTGGTGGCAAGGGGAGGGTAGATTCTGAAGGCAAGAAGATACTTCTGCATAATAGAGATCTTTGCTGGAGAGATCCATGTTTTTTCTTCTGCTTCTCTTGAAGGTTCTTTCTATTAGTTTGATATAATTTTTTTTGAAACTAATTAGCTGGATAAGTAGAATGTTTAGTTTGGAATAGATAGAAGTTTGATAACCACTGGGGAAGAAAGAAGATGTTTAATTTGGTGTGATGGACTTTATTTCCTCAGGACCTCAAGGAATTTCTTTGCTGCCAGTTTTGAATTTTAATCAGGTGACAAGTTATGCATGGCTATGCCGGACATCTCTCTTCGGTTCATGAGTAGTCTCACTCCGTGTGCGTGCACGTGTGTGCGTGCGTGATCACTTGTCAAACTATAGCCGTTGACTGAGTTAAAGCATCAATTATGATCATTATTATAGCTTGTTGGAGTTGCTGATGAAGTCATTATTGCTAGCACCCAGATTAAGATGATGCTTGAGCATCACAATTTTTTTTTCTTTCACTTAATGTGTTTCTCCTGTCTTTGTATATTGGATTGATCTGTTCACTTATTTATGATTACATGTCTTCTGCAGAAATCTATTTACAGTGAGCCTCAGGAATTGAAGGTAGACCATATTTTCTTATCTTTTTGTAACCAAATTGCATACCTTCTGCCAGTAAGTAATCTTCTTTATGTGCTTCGTTCTTCCATGTTGTTCTTTCATGCAGGAAGTGCCACCGTTGGATCTTCCTGAACTCTTGGCATATCTCCTTAGACAATCTGGCCCATTGTTTGATCAGCTTGGTGTAAGCCGGGGTAAGAAAATATGTGTTTCCTTCGTATATTAATCCACTTGTATTTTGTAACCTGATGTTGTTGTCTGACGACATCAAAATACTATTATTTCTTAAAGGCCTTACCGTAACGGTAGTCAAATTTCTATTAATTCCATGTATTAAGTTAAAATTTTCTGATAGTTTATTTCACTGTGAAGAGTTAATGCCTGTTTTGTTCTTTAGTTTCCATTGGAGATTTTGACAAATATATAATTGCATATTCAATGAATGTAATGGTAATAGCTTGTTGTTTAGTATGCATTGCACTGTAGCACGATTGGTGCAGCCTTTTGTTTCCTCCAAACCTAATGACTGTTTTGAGCCAAACTCTTTCCTACTTATTACGAGCATTTATATCATTTTAAAGCAATTTTTTTGTGGTGACAATTTAGTGGAAGCACTGGTGTCCTATCTGTCATGGAGTCATGTGCTTCATAGTCGATCCTAATTGGTGGGAAAAGTCATGGATGTTAAATTATGTAGTTGCTGGTCCTTTAGTTAGACTGAGAGATTATCTTCTATTCTGCTATGACTGAAATTGTATTTCATTGACTTCCAGCACTCTGCTTTAGATTTAATATTGATCTTTGTACCCGACAAGTGCAGGCAAACCTTATTCCTTAAATCAGTTATGTGATTTTGCTATTGGGTGTGTGATATTGATATAAATTCCTCCAATTCACTCTTGAGGTTTTCTTTATTATCTGACTGGCCAGCATCATTCTTTTTTTGCAGTTATTGGCCTGTGCCTTAATGCATGTTTATAACACCATATACAGCAACTTATGTCAAGAACACTTTTTGGCTGTAGATGTATGTGACAAAGTAGTAGAGGTCTTGTGTAGCAGACGCAAAGATCCACTCATATGTCAGTCTCCCTCCCTTCTTGATCATGAAAACATCAAAGATGAACTTGATTTCCGGATAGCTAGCGTGCTTCAGAGCACAGGGCATCGCGATGATGATAGCTTCTGGACTACTTCACCAAAACATGATCTAGCAGATACAAAGCGTCATATTGCAATTGTAACAACTGCCAGTCTACCATGGATGACTGGAACTGCTGTCAACCCACTTTTTCGTGCTGCTTATTTGGCTAAGACAGCAAAGCAAAGTGTAACATTGGTCGTCCCTTGGTTGTGCAAGGCCGATCAGGAACTTGTTTATCCTAACAGTATGACATTTAGCTCTCCAGAAGAGCAAGAAGCTTATATTAGAAGCTGGGTGGAGGAAAGGGTTGGATTTAAGGCTGATTTTAAGATCTCGTTTTATCCCGGGAAGGTGATTATATGGTGCACTATTTTATTATATAATGATGATTTATGGCGATTATGTTAAACACTGAATCATTTTTGTTGCCTTGGTTGCTTTTAGTTCGCAAAAGAAAGGCGCAGTATATTACCTGCTGGTGATACTTCACAATTTATTTCCTCAAAGGAGGCTGATATTGCTATATTGGAAGAGCCTGAGCACCTGAACTGGTACCATCACGGGAAGCGTTGGACTGATAAATTCAACCATGTTGTTGGTGTTGTTCACACAAATTACTTGGAGTACATCAAGAGGGAGAAGAATGGGGCCATCCAAGCTTTCTTCGTTAAACATATAAATAACTGGGTCACCAGAGCATATTGCAACAAGGTATCCTATCAAGCTCCTACATGACAGTATTTATTTAATCAGGCAATTAGATTAGCGACAATTTAAGGGAACCCAATATCTGATTCTGATCACCATGTTGACTGGTTAACTTTGTTCCATTTTGGGCCTGTTTCTTTGCACAGAAGTAATTATGAAGTAGCTGAAGTAAAAGAAGTAAAAGCTACTTCTGCTACTTTCAAGCAAAAAAATATGTTTGGTTCTCTGAAAAACTTACTTCCAATACTTCCCTAAATGCTTATATGGCGCCTACCAAAAAAATATGTTTGGTTCTCTGAAAAACTTACTTCCAATACTTCCCTAAATGCTTATATGGCGCCTACGTGTCATCCTTACTTCCAAAATATTTTTACTTACTTCCAATACTTCCCTAAATGCTTATATGGCGCCTACGTGTCATCCTTACTTCCAAAATATTTTTTCAATCCTCAATACCCAGAAGTAGCTCAGAAGTAGTTAAAATGCATATTAATTAAGACAAATAATTTTTTTTATTAATATTTTCTTTATTAGTTACTCCTAACAACTTTTCAATGATAAAATTACTTCCTAGTAATATTTCTAAATGTTATCCAAACAAAAAAAGTAAATGAAGAGGAAGAAGTTCTACTTCTATTACTTCTAAAAATATATGAAACAAACAAAAAAATGTTATTTCCACTACTTCCTACTCCATAGCTTTGAAAGTTACTTCTATAACCTACTTCTTACTTCTAATACTTCTATTATCCAAACGGGCCCTTAGATGAAACATTTGTCATTCTTTATTTTGGTCTTCTTTCTTAGAGCGTGTTTGGCAAGTGGTCAAAGTGGGTTATAAGGCTATAAGCTCATAAGCGTGACTATAAGTCACTTTGAAATGTTTGGCAAGTGAGTTATTTTAGCTTATTAATATACTAAAAAATAAGCAGGGTTACTTCAGTGTATTCTTGGGTGAATTATAAGCCACAAGGTTTGACTGTGTAAAATACATATATACCCCTCAATGTTCAACAAAAGTTCAAGTCCCAATCTCTCTCCAACCCGTTAAATTTAAATTTAGAGCCATGTCTTTTTTGGACAATTTGACAACAGTGATGGATTATGATCCACACATTTGCCAAACACTCAACTATTGAAAATATATCGTAATCCGCTAAATTTACTGAACACTCTACTACTATAGATTGTAATCCGCTTGGATTATAATCTATTTGTGGATTGTAATCCGAAGTTCCCAAATATGCTCTTGGTCATGTGTCATTTCCATCAATTTCACTTCTTTAACTAGTTAGCGGAATCTCGTGCAGGTTTTGCGTCTTTCTGCAGCAACACAGGACCTACCCAGATCGGTCATTTGCAATGTTCATGGTGTAAATCCTAAATTCCTCAAGGTTGGGGAGAAAATAGCAGCAGAAAAAGAGAGTGGTCAGCAAGCGTTCTCCAAAGGTGCATACTTTTTAGGGAAGATGGTGTGGGCAAAAGGGTACAGGGAATTGATAGACTTAATGGCAAAGAACAGAAATGAGCTAGAAGGTTTCAAGCTCGATGTGTATGGAAATGGAGAAGACTCGTTAGAAGTACAATCAACTGCAAAGAAATTAGACCTGAATCTCAACTTCCTCAAAGGAAGAGATCATGCAGATGATTCACTTCATGGGTACCGCAATATACCTAATGTTTTTTAATATCCTTTTCTCTAATAACTTTCTGTGTGACAATGGTTATGTCCTCTTTCTGATTTTGCAGATACAAAGTATTTGTTAATCCTAGTATCAGCGATGTCTTGTGTACTGCAACAGCTGAAGCTCTTGCGATGGGGAAGTTTGTTGTGTGTGCGGATCACCCATCAAATGAGTTCTTTAGGTCATTCCCTAACTGTTTGACATACAAAACCCCAGAGGATTTTGTTGCAAGAGTAAAAGAGGCATTATCAAGTGAACCTCAACCCCTCACCCCCGAGCAAAGATACAACCTCTCATGGGAAGCTGCGACCGAGAGATTTGTAGAGTACTCTGAACTTGACAAAGCTCTCCAAAACATCAAAAATGTATCCTCACACAGCAGTGATGGGATTAGGAAGTCGGTTTCTATGCCTAGTTTGACTCAAGTGGTAGATGGAGGATTAGCTTTTGCTCACAATTTTCTAACAGGAAATGAGATCCTTAGGTTGTCTACCGGGGCAATACCGAGTACGATGCATTATGATAAGCAACACTGTCAGGATCTGCGTCTCTTGCCGCCTCAAGTACAAAACCCAATATATGGTTGGTGAGAAAATTCCATTTGTATTGGTGCACTATATTCCATGAAGTTGACAGAGCTATAACAATGTGCAACCGTTCTACGGTAGTCCTCTTCCATTTTCATCTGCTGAGAAAGCCATCAAATCTGGCTGTGGAGTTGGTCAGAGACGTCAAAACCAGCAATTGTCCCTTTGTTCATATGTTAAAGTTATAGTGTAATACATCTCGGAATCATTCAAGGCTTCGTCATTATTTGAATCATCAGCAGCCTGTGGATCAATTCTTTGGAGGTAACTTTGCAAATAACTCCAGCTTACAAATAAGTACAGATGAAGATAAATGAACTATGTTGAATCATGACGAAGCACAAGAGTGAAGTGAAAGACTGTGGTCAGCTGGTTACCAATAATTCTTTTTGCTCTAATGGTACAATGAAATAACGTGGAGTTAACAGCAACTTCGGCAGAGTTCCTGCTTTTGGTGTTGCTATACTGATAAAAGATGATCTCAGAATCTCAATTTTTTGGTTGAAGTATATATATAGGATTTATAAGCTGCTCCCATGTAGGCCATCATATGATATTTGATATGCTGTAACAAATACTTTCATGTAATATCCTAATTTTGTATGTATGCTTCCCATTCTTTCGCCTAATCCTGTTGATATGTTTCCTCTAGTGTCCAGTTCTCCACATAATGTGTGCAGTTTCTACTTACCCTGTTAGTAGTGTATTTTTGCCGCAATGGTTATTTCTGGTTAATGATGAGAGCATGGATTTTCTGTTTGAGCCTTGCCTATTATTGAATACCCAGATTATGTCAAATCCTGGATGTTTTTATTATTTCTTTGATCTTGATTACTTCTATAGCATAGTAGCAGCACTCATGTCCCTTCAGAATCTTCATCAGTTAATGGTTGGCTACAGTTTCATAGCGTACAGATTTAGTAGCAGGTTAATGAGTGGCTTGTATCTAAGAGCACCGACTACTTGGATGTTTCTATTATTT